TCCGCAAAAAAAACTGTTTTTTTTTTTTTTTTTTTTGGAAGGCCGATTTTAGGTTCTTGGGTATGATCTCGTCACACTGCTGTACCCCTCTAGATAGGATTTCGGTACTTGGCTTGGTCGCAAGACTCCACAATTGTGCAAAAAATCTCCTCCCTCTCTTCTTTCCCTTTCCTCTCCCCCCCTTCCCCCCCCGCGGCTTCCCATGCTGCTGACAAAGGGCATAAGAATAGTGAATTTTGCAAGTTCTGGTAGGTCCGTGAGACCGGCTCCCCCCTGCAAAAAATTAAAATAGGGCATCTTGAGGTCACTTCCAGTGGTGACCACAAGATCCTTTGCCCCGTGGTTCCCCAGGCTGCTGACAAAGGGCACATGAGTAGTAATTTGTGAGTTCTGGTAGGTCCGTGTGACCTTTTTTTTTTTTTTTTTTAGACAGTACCTGGATGGTTCAGAGTTTTAATGTGTGGTAGCAGGGCCTATCCCTGGTCATGCAAGAGTATAAGTTCTGAAGTCAAAGTCATTGAGTGCATTCTTTGCGAAGCTCCTTCCTGCGCTCTGCCCTCTTGCGGATTGATCCTTCCTTGAGGTTCTTATCACAATAGGCTAACCTTATTTAGCGCTTGAGTTGCCCTTGAAATTTCTAAGCAAGATGTTGGAACGCAGCGCTCTTCTTAATAAGGGTCGGCCTCTTTTCCTAGATTTGAGCTATTAAGAGCCTAACAACTAAGAGTTCTTCAAGATATCCCTTTATATTAGGGTAAGCAAGATAGATGCATATTTTCATTTATGTGTTGCGGTGATCCTTTTTTCTCCCCTTCTCTCTTGGAAGAAGGGTCTTGCCTGATAGATAGAAGATCTGTTTTGACGCAATCATTTTCTCTCTTCCTTCTCTCTCTCTTCATCTTTCACTTTCCCTCCTTTTTTTTTTTTTTTATTTATTTAATGGTTACCCTACGAAATTGGTATGAGTTTCCTCGTTGCATAATGGTGGTGCCAGAGATGGTCTCTTCCCCCCCCTTTCTTTCTCTCCCCCCCCCCCCCCTTTTTTTTTTTTTTCTTTTAATATATATATTGATCAGTTTGTCCTTTCTTCTTCCCTTCTTCACATGTAGATGAGTCTGAGAGAAAGGTCGGAGTGTTGATAACAAAATCATCAAATCCTAGGTATAAAATTGGAAGGTACATGCAAAAGTCCTTCATATGCAGTTTAGTCTAAGAAAAAGGTTGGAGTGCTTGATAACAAATTTATTAAATCCTAGTCATATGCGAAACAAGTTCCGAAATTGGGTTGTGCCAATCGAGATGTAATACTGAGTAGGTGATTATCGAGGTAGAAAATAGAATCCCTTCACTGATTCTTCTTTGTTTTTTTTTTTGTTTTTTTTTTTAATATCCGAAAAGCAGTGGCCTGATGCGTAAATCGGTGATATACATTCTAGGTCCCTTTTAAATGACAGACTTAAAAAACATTCTTTCTCCTTTCCTTCTCCCTTCTCTCTCTTCACCCTCTCTCCCTCCTTTTTTTTTTTTTTTTTTTTTTTTTTAAGATGAAGGTAGAGATGCTTAAATTAAACCAAACTGAGCTCCATCCTCAGTCCTTACTCCATTCCTTCTTCCTTTATCATCTTTCCCACCCATGATCTTCAAGCTCTTGAGGAGAAAATTCCTGGTCCTTTAAACATTCCCAAAAAAAATGATCCTTTAAGTCCTTAAAGTAAGCTTAATTAACAACTATTTGCTGTCGGCGCCTGTCGCTTCATGTACTTGCTGAAAACAATTTTTTTTAAAGAGAGGAGTAAAAGCATAACCAGATGTCCATATGCCAAAAAAATAACCTTTAGATTTCATAGTGACAAATTTGCCCTCCAGTTGATGCAACCGAATTCTACAGACAAAATAGAACTTGAGTTTCATCCCTTCTGAGTTGATAATTGGGGCATAATCAATCTAACCCTTTCCTCCTCTTCCTTTTGTTCTTCCTTCTTCTTCATTCCTCCTCTTCTCCTCCCTTCTCCCTTCCCTTTCTTCTTCCTCCCTCTTCCCTGCTAGTAAAGATGAAGTTGGTAAGAGGAGTAACAGATTGCAGACTTCCGCAACGGATTCTGGGTAACCACTAAACTACTAAAGGAAGTGTTACGGACTTCGCCAGGGCTCGATCCCTGGTCTATCTTTTTGCTGTTTCGGCTGCATCCCGTTTTCGCCCTGGCACCCCTTTCCAAACCCCTCCTTGGTACCATAGGATTTTGGACAAATGGCGCCATGCTGCAATTCAGGCGCCACTTTCAAATACTGCATTTTTCAGTTCTGCCCTCAGGGCCTTTGCAGAAATGCCCCTGGTACCGTACGTGCCACCGGTACTTATACCGGCTCCCCGTACGGTACAGGGACCAGTCTCGTACCAGTTCTCTGCTGCTGTACTCGTACTCAGTGTGACTTGCTGTTTCGGCATTCGGAATCCAAGACTTCGACTTTGCGCCTTGCCACTGTGTCTACGTCCGATCCTCAGTCCGAGTCCGTCGTGTGGAGTGAGTGAGTGTGTGTGTGTGCTCTCACTCTCTCCCTCTCTCTCCTCTCCCTCGGCTCACCCTCAACCTCACGCTCATTACACTGGTATCGGAGCGGTTCGAACCCGGCCGACCCACCCTGCTTCGTCGCCATGACCTGGCCATCATCAGCATCATCGTCGTGATCGTCGTCGCAGTACCACGTCATCGTCACGATCGTCGCCGTTGTGCTGCGTCATCACCGTCATTGTCGCAATCGTCGTCTTGCCGTCCTGCCACGACATCATCATCTCGATCGTCGTCGTCGTACGTGACCATCGCCGTGCCCGTCGTCCTCGTCGCTGCGCCGCGCCGTCCTTGTCATCGCCGCCTCGCAGATAAGTAATCAACGACAATTTTATTTTATTTTATTTTATTTTTCTCCTTCTTATTTTTCTTCCTCATTTCTTTTCTTCTTCTTCTCATCATCA